CAATTATTTAAATATTTACTCAACTAATCTTCTAAAGATATTGAATATTGAAAGAACATGCAGAAAATTAGCTGGACTAGGTCTAAATTACAAAATTGTTTAGCAAAAACATTAAAAGATTCATTACAGTAAAAAAAAATGCTTACATCACATTTTACGAGATGTTCTCACTTTTATCCCCCCCCCCCTTATATATATATATATATATAAAAGAATGAGCTATGTTGACATGACGCTAAAAACCCGAAAAGATTTAGATATTTTCGTATTCTTAAAAACAATCATAGTTATTTTCTATTATTTTACGTAAATCGAATAAATTTAAATGCGCAAAAAAATTACATAAATCGCTTTTATTTTAGTAAAAGTTTAAGTATTATTATTATACATTTCAAATACATTTAAGTATGAACAAAGGAACTATTTTAAGCATTTTATATGTGTTTGAAAGTCATGAAAAATAAATAAATCATGATCAAAGAATTACACCGTAATCACATTTATCGGTAAAACCAAAACATCAGTTGTTTTTAGTGCGTCTTTAAGTGCGTTGTTAATATTGCGAAATAAAAAAAAAATAATTTGTTCTAATTAATCATGAACTTGACGTCATAGCGCGAATTGCCTATTTATCAAAAACTCTTAGGTTTCTTTGGTTTAAAATTATTAAAATTAATAAATATAATTGATTGCTTTTTAAATTTTTAATAAAACTAAAACACATACATATTTTAGCTTTGTATTTTTAATATTAAAAAAAAATTAATTCCAAAAATATACTTTTATTAAATTTATAACGTAATAAAAAATAACCTTTAAATATAATTCTAATTTAGAAAATGCCGGTTTAAGTCAATCAGTGCAGCGCAACTCCATAACCAAATAGCATTGACTAATCCACTTATACCTCATACAAATAAGAACGAACCATATGACGTGCAAAATATGTTAGTTTGGGAATGGAAGGGACTACAATCCGGTGGAAGATTGTATTAATTTTAATTTAAAATCTTGATTGGGGGGTGGGTCATTTTTCCCCAGGCAGCACAAGATACGTCTCAAAATAAAGGAATGAATTTGATAAATAATTAACCTTCTTGGGTACATGCATATCGAAGGTAGGAAATAGGATGTGTAGCCTACATTTTTACATGGATGACAATCAGGGTTTCTTTAAGCTATATCTCCGGGGGTGGGGGC